ATACTTGACATATTAATATTCTGTCCGATACCTGCCTCACACTTTTACCATAATATTACGAGGTATCATCGATACTTTGCGTGAAAATACTTTGAATTATTTGTATTCGATTTATTACGAGACTTGGTCGATACTTGGCTTTGAAACACTGCGACCGGTGACTGTCTCATTTTTGTTCGATTGATTCACGAGGTTCTTACGATACTTGACATATTAATATTCTGATTATTGATGCTCCTGCAATAGTCCTTCGTTATCTCCCAAAGTTAGCTCACACTATATACAAGTAATTCTCATACCTCCGTTTTAAACCTATCAGCGCCATCTCCCATGTATATCATCAACTGACTTCGTCGATAGGGAAGACTAAGTTGACAATATCACTACGTTTCACCCTCTTGTATTTACGTGTGTGTTCAGTTGCCGAAGTTACCAGATCTGTGGATTTGCGGATATGTGGTGTCGCGTAAACCACTAGTTACCATATAGAGTCCCTATGACTACCATTATTCCACTAGATTATACCATTGAGATTCAAATATTTTTATCTGATAATTTTATAAATCCAATATTATTTTTAAGCCAGTTGAAATATTTCCACGGTTTTGGAAACAAGAAAATATAGAATTTTGGAAAGTAAGTTCGAGAAACTCGTAAACAGGAAACGAGTAATAAATCTAAAGAGTCTCTCGACGTAGCTCTGGCCATCCAAAAATAAAAGATCCTTTGTATTGTTTTTTTTATATAGAGTTTTCGAGTGCAATTCTAGCTTGACATTAAACCGTTCGAGTCGTAAAACCTTTTCCTGGAGACAGTTTCTTTTCCCCGGGTGAAATTCAAGCATTTTCTGTCTCTCCCGAAAAACTACATGTAAGGCCCTTTGTTCAAGTCACGTAGACTCGAGAGTTGGGGCTGGACCAGCTCGAGCGATCGCGGGGGTGTTAGACCAACACTGTTCACTGGATTCAAGGCCACGATTGGTCCCCTACTCTTTTCTGTGGGATGAGCCCTTCGTCTTCGACACTTAGACTAATTTTTAGAGTAAGTAAGGGCAGATCCACCCCATACGTGGATACGAGAAGTTCGAGAGAAATTGTTATCGTCTTCTCAAGTTTTAAAAACCCAAAGTATTGTTGTAAAATATCTTCTAAATTTTGAAAAGTATATATAAACGTTTCGATTGGATTATCTAATTAAATTGGTGTTCGTGTTCAATTATTTTTATTCGAAAATTCCCGCACTTGTGGAGCAGAGTGCTTTAGCGCTCCACGGGCATTGGACCCAAAGAGGATAGACCTGAGTAGAGGCCCGGATCAGGGGGTTTGACTGACTCCAAAAATGTTAGTTGGTATCCCACGGGAAAGGCGGCGTCCCGGTCGAATTGTCGGAGAATGTGAGTCGGGTGCGTGAGTAACTCGGCAGTAGCAGTCCCGCTGTGACAGGGACAGGTTTGGTGGGGGATTTTTGTCCTCCTTGTACTCTCGGCGCAGAGTGACTCCCCAATAATTCGCCCGCTAATTAAAAAATCGTCTCTCCCCTCCTAATTAACATTAAGGAATGAAACCAATGCTGTTCGATGGAGAATTAAATTTCCCATCCTTCAACCTCCGTATCATTCCTTAATCTCTGTAATAAAAAAATAAAAACTGCGACGAAATTCGCGGCGCTATGAAAAACTCAATGGTTTCTCGGCGCAGAGCGCTTCCCCATTAATTCGCCCGCTAATTAAAAAATCGTCTCTTTTCTCCTAATTAATATTAAGGATTGAAACCAATGCTGTTCGATGTAGAATTAAATTCTCCATCCTTCAAACCCCCCTTTCATTCCTTAATCTCTGTAATGAAAAAATAAAAACTGCGACGAAAGTCGCGGCGCTATGAAAAACTCAATGGTTTCTCGGCGCAGTGACTCCCGACAACTCGCCCGCTAATTAAAAAATCGTCTCTTTTCTCCTAATTAATATTAAGGAATGAAACTAATGCTGTTCGATGGAGAATTAAATTCCGGATCCTTCCCCCTCCGTTTCATTCCTTAATATTAATTAGGAGAAAAGAGACGATTTTTTAATTAGCGGGCGAGTTGTCGGGAGTCACTGCGCCGAGAAACCATTGAGTTTTTCATAGCGCCGCGACTTTCGTCGCAATATTAATTTTCTTATTACAGAGATTAAGGAATGAAACGGAGGTGGAAGGATCCGGAATTTAATTCTCCATCGAACAGGATTGGTTTCATTCCTTAATATTAATTAGGAGAAAAGACACAATTTTTGAATTAACGGGAGAGTTGTCGGGAGTCACTGCGCCGAGAAACTATCGAGTTTTTCATAGCGCCGCGACTTTCGTCGCAATATTAATTTTCTTATTACAGAGATTAAGGAATGAAACGGGGGTTGAAGGATGGGGAATTTAATTCTCCATCGAACAGCATTGGTTTCATTCCTTAATGTTAATTAGGAGCAGAGATACGATTTTTTAATTAGCGGGCGAGTTGTCGGGAGTCACTGCGCCGAGAAACCATTGAGTTTTTCATAGCGCCGCGACTTTCGTCGCAGTTTTTATTTTTTTATTACAGAGATTAAGGAATGAAACGGGGGTTGAAGGATGGGGAATTTAATTCTCCATCGAACAGCATTGGTTTCATTCCTTAATGTTAATTAGGAGCAGAGATACGATTTTTTAATTAGCGGGCGAGTTGTCGGGAGTCACTGCGCCGAGAAACCATTGAGTTTTTCATAGCGCCGCGACTTTCGTCGCAGTTTTTATTTTTTTATTACAGAGATTAAGGAATGAAACGGGGGTTGAAGGATGGGGAATTTAATTCTCCATCGAACAGCATTGGTTTCATTCCTTAATATTAATTAGGAGGAAAGAGACGATTTTTTAATTAGCGGGCGAATTAATGGGGAAGCGCTCTGCGCCGAGAAACCATTGAGTTTTTCATAGCGCCGCGAATTTCGTCGCAGTTTTTATTTTTTTATTACAGAGATTAAGGAATGAAACGGGGGTTGAAGGATGGGGAATTTAATTCTCCATCGAACAGCATTGGTTTCATTCCTTATTGTTAATTAGGAGGGGAGAGACGATTTTTTAATTAGCGGGCGAATTATTGGGGAGTCACTCTGCGCCGAGAAAACATTGGGTTTCTTATAGCGCCGTGACTTTCGTCGCAATATTAATTTTTTTATTGCAGAGATTAAGGGATGAGAGAAGGGTTGATGGATGGGGAATTTAATTCTCCATTGAACAGTCTTTGTTTCATCCCTTAATATTAATTAGTCGGCGAATAAATCAACTGAAAAACATAAAGTAAACAGTGAGTACAAGGAGGACAAAAATATCCCTTCGAACCTGTCCCTGTCACAGCG